TTTCTCTTAGAAAAATATGCACATCCTAGGATATTCCAACTAATCTTGATAATATTACTACACAAGATAAAAAAAAAATCACACGAAAATTTTTATCCTGAAACATGAAGAAATCATCAGGGTAGGCATGAGGCCTGGTGGTTAAGATGGCTGCATCCCATAATGGAGTGTCTGGGTTAGAATCCTGGCTGCACCCCCATTCCAGTTTCCTGCTAATATGCACCCTGGAAGGCAGCAGGTGATGGCTCAAGTACTTGGGTCCCTGCCACTCACAGGGGAGACCTAGACTCCCAGATGCTGGCTTCAACTTGGCCCTACTCTGGCTACTGCAGGCATCTGAAGATTGACCCAGCTGAGTGGAAGGTATCTCTCTCACTCTTGCTCACCCCTGCAACCTTTCAAATAAATAAATAAGTAAAAGAAAGTATCACTACGTTCTTCACACTTTAAAAAAAAAACATTTTGAAGCTATTAAAATATAATTGTAAAATGTAATGCTTTTAAACTGTGAAAAAGCTGTTTGGGGGAGGAGGGGGCTGGGTCAGCATTATGGTGACTGCCTGCATTACCAGCATCCCATGTGGGCATTGGTTCACATCCTGGCTCCTCTTTTTTTTTTTTTAATATTTTTATTTTTATTAATTTGAAATATAGAGGAATTACAGAGAGAGGCAGGGACAGAGAGAGAGGTCTTCTGTCCGCTGGTCCACTTCCCAAATGGCCACAACAGCCACAGCTGAGCCAGGACCTTCCTCTGGGTCTCCCGCATGGGTGCAGGGGCCCAAGGACTTGGGCCATCTTCTGCTTTCCCAGGCCACAGCAGAGAGCTGGATCAGAAGAGGAGAGGCCGAGACTAGAATCAGCGCCCATATGGGATGCCAGAGCTTCAGGCCAGGGCTTTAACCTACTGCACCATAGCACTGGCCCCGCTCCTCTGCTTCTAATCTGGCTCTCTGTTGGTGTGCCTAGGAAAGCAGCTGAGGATGTCGCAAGTGTCTGGGCCCCTGAATCCACATGGGAGACCTGGAGAAAGCTCCTGGCTCCTGGCTTCAGCCTTTTCCAGCCCTGGCCATTACAGCTGCTGGGGGAATGAATCAGCACATCCAAGATCTCTTTGTCTCTCCTTTGCTCTCTGTAACACTGCCTCCCAATGAAGGAATAAACCTTCAAGGAAAAAAGCTGTTTGGGCAGCTTAATGAGCAGGCCTCAGGAATGTGGGCAATTAACCGAGAAATAAATTAAATGAATCACATCACTGAACAACAGCACAGAAAAATGGCATTTTAACATAGTCATTCTGCAATTCCTTTTCTCCTAGTCAAAAAGCATACCACTTAAAAGCCTGAAATAAGGGCCGGTGCTGTGGCTTCATAGGCTAAGCCTTCACCTATGGCACTGGCATCCCATATGGCACTGGTTCGTGTCCCAGCTGCTCCTCTTCTGATCCTGTTCTCTGCTTGTGGCCTAAGAAGGCATTGCAAGATGGCTCAAGCACTCGGGCCCCTGCACACACATGGAACACCCAGAAGAAACTCCTGGCTCCTGGCTTCGTATTGGCTCGGCTCCAACCACCATGGGCTTCTGGGGTGTAAACCAGCAGATGGAAGACCTTTTTCTCTGTCTCTCCCTCAGCCTGTAATTCTACCTCTCAAATAAATAAATAAAATGTTAAAAAAAAAAAAGCGTGAAATATTCTACTAAGGAACATAAATTCCTTTTAATTTATTTGAGAGGCAGAAAGACAGAAACAGTTCCTCTGCTAGTTCATCCCCTAAATGCTTTCAACAGCCAAGACTGAGCCTGGCTGAACTCAAGAGCCGGGAACTCAGTTCAGGTCTCCACCACGGGAGGCATGAACCCAGCTACTACAGCCATCACCTACTGCCTTCCAGGACGCATCGCACTAGCAAGAAGCTGGAAACAGGGGAACTGGGCAGCTGGCATTGTGGCACGGAGGGTTAAGCCACTGCCTGCAGCGCCAGCATCCCACGTAAGTGCTCATTCAAGCCTCGGCTGCTCCACTTCAGATCCAGTTCCCTGGGAAAGCAGAGCACAGCCCAAAGGCTTGGGCCTCTGCACCCACGTGGGAGACGTGGATGAAACTCCTGGCTCCTGGTTTCAGCCTGTCCCAGCTCTGGTCACTGTGGTTATTTGGGAAGTGAATCAGCAGATAGAAGATCTCTCTCTGTCTCTCAATCCTTCTCTCTCTGTAATTCTTTCAATAAATAAACATTTAAAAAACAGAGAGGGAGAGCGAGAGGGAGAGAGAGAGAGTGCGCTGGGACTCCAACCCAGGCACTGATATGTGAGGCAGCTGTCCCAAGTGGCAGCCTACTCACTGTGCCAAATGGCTGCCCCAAAAGATTAAATTTTTATTTCATGACCATAAATTAGAGAACCATGCAGTATTTACTTAATCTCAAACGACTTCAACAAAAGAAGATATAAAAGGATTCAAAGGAAGAAGATGAAATAAGGTTCAATGTAATACACAAAAAATATTTTAAAAGAAAAAATAGACCATTTGATAAGATCTGATAACATTTCAGCATGACAATACTAAGTAAAGCTTCTGTTCAAACAGACTGTGGACATCCAAAGCTACTGTCCAGATTTCTTGACTGACAGTGGCATGAACAGACTGCAGAAGGGTGTGAAGTGAGGCACTACACCTGCCTTCTGAATGCACACCACCTAGTACAGATCAATGGGTACCACAGGAATCAAAATGCTGAATTCTACAATATAATTTGACATTATTCTTCCACATCTCCTAAAAAATTAGGAAAATTTTGTCCGTTTTCAATCTGATACAGCTTCAGTCTACAAACAGAAAAGAAGACATAAATGCACACAACACTCTTCTGAACCAATTCTCTATTTTAAAAAGAAGCTGATGAGCACTCAAGGATGAATACGTGAATGACAGATGGGAGAAGGCTTTAAAAGTAATCACCAAGACTCAGGCAAAGCAGTGAAGACAACAACTAGGTATATACAAATTAAAATCACATTAAAAAGTCAGATTTTTCTCTATTCCTTTTTCTTTATCTCTGACACCTCATAAACATAAGTACTCTGACCTCAATACCACAAAAAAATTCATGTTAAAGAATGCCTGAACTCTTCAGCACTCAAACTCAGATCACTTTAGCAAACTCTTATTTCATTAATAATAGGAAATCAAGTATTCAGGCAAAAAAAAAAAAAAACACACAATTTCCTGTTAATATTACCTTTCTTTTCCATCTAAATGGAAACTGAGAAGCAAGGCTTTTATAAATAGGGAAAAGTAAACATTAAATCTTGTGATGGGCCCAGCATCGTGGCATAGTAGGTTAAGCCTCAGTATGAAGCTCCTGGCTACTGGCTTTTGGCTTGCCCAGGCTGTTTCAGCCATTTGGAGAAATGAACCAGCAAATGGAAGAAGACCTTTCCCTCTCTGTGTCTCTCCTTCTCTGTAACTCTGAGTTTCAAATATATAAATAAATCTTTTTTTAAAAAAAGTTCTGTTTTCAATATTTGCCAAAGAAACAACTGTTTTGTTCTTAAAAGAGGAATAAAAAGAGAAGACTACAAACATTAAGTACCATTTCCCTCACTCTAAAGACTTTTCCCAACAAGAACAAATACATCAGTCTTGCTTTGCTGCTTCTACAAATAGATTATATTTAACCATTGTTCAGATAAAGAACATTAAGCCATAAGGAAGTTGTGACTTCATGGCTCACAATAAACTAGTGGCTAGTGGCGAACCTTTGTTAGTTGTTACAACACAGTCAGTTAACAATTCCCATGCAATGAAAATTTCTCACAGACATTTCATATGCAAATACAGGTGTGCCTGGGTTTACCACAGGGTACACTCCAGAAGGCTACAAACCACCCAACTGCCGTTCAAATCCATCATGAAAGTTTGCCATTGAAAGGTATCCCCAAAATTATCTGAGTTGTGTTTTATAATTTTAGATGTTGGAAAACATACTTTCCTTAAAGAAAGGCAAATTTGCATTTCTTAAGTGTATTAGAATTCTGAAAAGAAACATGCATAAGCCTACCATCAGGCAGGCTGAGGGCAAAGACTGCTGAAGGCAAAGACTACACAGGCAAGTGAGTTCTGAGTGAAAGGCAGGGCAGGGGCACACACTAAACAGTGAATCTGAGAGGGACGGTGGAGAGGAGCTAAGCTCTAGATTTGGAAAGTGGATGATGTAACTTCTAAGGGCCTATCTAAATCTGCGATTCCACACTGTAGAGACTTCTTAGCACAGGGGTTGGATATGTAACTGACTGGGCTTATTTTCGTATCTATTCCTTCAAAGATATCAGGAACACAACCTAAAAGTAGAAAACTAAGTTTGTACTTCCTCTGACATGAGCAGTGACCATGACTTAAGAATAAACTACTTCAAATACAATCTAGAAACTTAAAAAACTGTCAATAGGAAAGAATACGGTGTCACAGAAAGAACAATCCTTATTTCACTCCATGTGAAAGTTAGTTCTAGATGGGTCACAGACATAAAGTCAAAGCTCAAGTAGGAATCCAGCTCTCCTCACTGCCAAAGCGCACGCTCTAAGCATCACACTTCCTAGGCAGGTGCTACTGCCCTAGCTAGCCCTATCAGGGAGCTACAGTTGCAAACAAAAATTTTCTTACACACTAAATTCAGTTAAAAGTAGGAACAATATTATCTCATATTCATCAACAGAAATATTCCAATGTCTCCCCCTAATGTAATTTCAACATTTCAAGTTCTACAGAAATATACATATAAGTTAATGTAAGGATAGCTGTCATTCATTCACTCTACAGCAACTAACTTTAACGGAGATTTATTAAAATATAAATGAAAATACATTCTACGTACATGTAATAAATGAAAATTACGAGAAGCTATTGTAATCTTCAAAACTTGAACCATAATAAGAAATAAAAAATCACATTGTCAATGTAACTGCTGAATTCAAGCTTCCATACTTACGAAAAACACACATACCTTTTCCTAGGTGCGTGTTTATGCTCATGTATCTAGCTGTTCCCGTAAGGCTTTTGTGTTCTCTGTATGGTATATGTTTCTTTGTCTCTGGATCAATGTATTCTTTTGCCAAACCAAAATCTATAATATGAATAACTTGCTGGGTTTTGTTTCCTGGTCGTCCTATTAAGAAGTTCTCAGGTTTTACATCTCTGTATATTAAGTTCTTTGAATGGACATATTCCATGCGAGAAATCTTGGTTTAAGGGGGAAAAAAAGAGAAATTTTATTTTAGGCTTTGATGAGTGTAAGAAAGCATGATAGAGGCAAGACAGAACTTTCACAATGAAACCAACACTTAAAAAAAATCAGTAACGGTTTCAACCCTTTAACAGTATGCATTATCAGTCTACAGTTCCCCATATACCCCATCCAATTATATTAAAACATTTGCCTTTACTATTATGGTTATGACAATTAAACGCTTAGATTTTATGAATTATTTTCTGATCAGCAAGTATGACTCAATCAACAGTTCCAGAGGATGCTGTCTCATGAACTCTAAAAGCTATAATCACACAAAATTTTGAACTCAAAGTATAAGCAGACATCTTAATAAAGTTGCATTATGTTTCATTAGTTCAATAACCCAGCAACATAACAATCATATTATGGAAACTTAAGAGTCTGAACTGTTAAATAATTAACACCACCATTCAATATTTCTTTTTTTCCTGTTTATAATGTCTTTTCTTTACTTTTCCTAAGCATTGAGAACACTTAAAAATAACATCTTGAACCTAGAAAAGTTTAGAATCCAACTATAATAATAACACGGTATATTGTTAGCTGTTTTACAGATTTTCAAGTAATATTCATTTGACAAACTGTCACAAAATAGAACATTACAAAAATAAAATCTGATTCACTTAGTGATAATCATAGTTAATAATCAATGTAAACACAATGTATTTATAGGCCCTTCTAACCAGTTTATTAACAAACTTCTGATGATGTAGTCTGTAACTTCTATGACCTACAATTTTTTTTTAATATTTATATATTTGAAAGAGTCACAGAGAAAGGAGAGACAGAGAGAGAGAGACAGAGAGAGAGAGACAGAGAGAGAGAGAGAGAGAGAGAGAGAGAGAGAGAGATCTTCCATCTGCTAGTTCACATCACAGAGGGCCTCAACGGCAAGGGCTGGGCCAGGCCCGAGCCAGGAGCCAGGAGCTTCCTCCAGGTCTCCCACGTGGGAGCAGGGACCCAAGCACCTGGGCCATCTTCCACTGCTTTCCCAGGCCATTCTCAAGAAGCCAGATCAGAAGAGTGGCCAGCACATGCAGGTGCCCATATGGGATGCAGCCACCACTATACGCCACAATGCTAGCTCCTGACCTTTCAACTGACAATTTTACAAGCACTTTTCAGGTCATGAAATGTTCCTTTAACATACACTTTTTACGAGCTACATATTATTTTATGGCTATTAATAATTTATCCAAATAACCCTGCTAGGCCTGCACATTTGGGCTGCTTCGCTTTTTGATTACAGACACCCTTGAACACGAAGTTTCAAGTGCATCTGAGTGCTTCCACAGGATGAACGCGTCCACGTGGAAGGAACGAGTCAACGGACAGAAACCGTCTCACGGCTTCCACAGCGTGCTCCTCTTGGCATTCATTGCAAAACCGCCCTCAATTCAATCTCTAAAGTATTTTCCCACAGGTTCCCTGAAATTTAAATAATGTAGTAATGTTCCTTCATTAGTCTGTTTCTTCTTTTTCTAGACCAATACTCCATCATCATGATTAACAATTCATGTTACTCAGCACTCCCTTTGGATCCATCTTCTACACAGAAAACGTGAAAGGAGCAGCTGTCATTTAAATATCAATCCTGATCTTAAAGCAATTAAGATGTTAATTTTCATACAAATAAAATACACTTGATTCAGTTTCCTTAAGCTATATATACATTTTAGAAAGACAATACGAAACACACAAGCATCTGTACTAGACCGACCGGTATGTAAGATAACACCACAAGCCTGTAATCCAAATGTGTAACCAAGGAAGCACGCCACCGCTCCAGCGCTCGGACAGCGCCGGGCTTTACTTACCAGCTGTATAGCTATCATGAGAACCGTTTTCAGAGAAAACGTCCTGTCGCACAAGTCAAACAGGTCTTCTAAACTAGGACCCAGCAGTTCCAGCACCATGGCGTTGTATTTACCACAAGGGCCAAAATAGTAAACTTGAGGTATACCATCTGGGAGAAAAGAAACAGTTGTTTAGTAGCTTCACCACCACCCCAGGAAAACAACACATAAAGACTTTTTAATTTTATAGCTCCAAGCTCCAGGGCAGTATCTGTCCATTCTCCAGAAACACAAGTTCTTCCTGACCACATCTCCTCTGGGAGGCCCTCCTGCAGCCTGGTGCCACCCCCGCGGCACACACAGAGTGAACCACAGGATCCATGGTACTGCACCGTCTCTCCACCTGCAGGCTGCTTAGCTTTAGAGACACCTTCGAAACGTTCATCGAAAACGCATATTATAAAAGCAGCAGACTCTAGAGTATTTCTGCACCAAACTAATCTTTTAGTCCTTTTTCCAAGCACATTTTGAAGTATGCTCAAATCTCCATGGCCTAAAATGCTTATCAGCACATAGGGAATACTCCATTTTAACTGAACAAGTGAGCCACTATCTTAATTAATCCTGTGGAAGGAGTACCGCTAATCTCACACCTCACAATTCCCATCTGTTGGTACACACACCCTGTATAACTCCAATCCACACACATGGACATGGGACACAAGCATCCCGATCAGCATCATAACCAGTCACACTGGGTTGGACAGTTGGGATACCAAAGTTCAGAAAACACATGATTAAGATGACTTATCCCAGGAACGTAAAGCTGGGTTACTATTGTAAAATCCACCAATTGAACTCAACATCGTTAACCGAATAAATATAGAAAAACTCTAAGATCATCTTAATAGTTCTAAAGAAAGCATCTAACACAACGCTCAGCAAATTTGGAACAGAAGGTTCCTAAATCTGATAAAGAAAATCAACCAAGGGGCCAACGCTGTGGAGCAGCAGGTTAAGTCATGGCCTACAGCGCCGGCATCCCGTATGGAAGTCAGTTTGAATCCCAGCTGCTCCACTTCAGATCCAGCTCCCTGCTAATGAGCCTGGGAAAGCAGAGGAAGATGATCCAAGTCCTTGGGGCCCTGCACCCATGTGGGAGACCCTGAAGAAGCCCCTAGCTCCTGGCTTTGGCCTGGCCCAGGCCTGGCAGTTGATGCCCTTTGTGACTGGTGGATAGAAGACCTCTCTGTCTCTCCACTCTCTCTCTGTAATCTTAACTTTCAAATTAAATAAATAAATAAATATTTTTAAAAGAAAATCAACCAAAAACTAGCCTGGTACAATATGAAACAATTTCCATTCGGGACTGGGAGCAATCATGGACATCCGCTTTTGTCTATTCTACTCAAAAGTGCGCTAAAGCAAAAATTAAAGGAGGCTACTGTTTTGCTTAGGCCTGCAGCAGGCCCCAAGAGATTAAAAATCAAAAAGTCACTCATGCTAAAGTGCCATGTCATCAAACTGTGACTAACTGTTTAGCTGACCTTCCAGAATAAGATGAACAAGAGGTAACTTTCAAATCTCCCAAACAGGGTGAATCTGGTCAGCACAATGAAATAACCTCTGCTTTACCTTCCACAAGGTGTAACCTAAAACATCCTAAGGTTCACCAGTAAGTTATTTTTCTACTGTTCTGTCTTAGGTCCCCATCATACAAGGAAAGTAGCTTTGAAGTGACTAATCTGCTTTTGTTCTGTTTCTGCCTTTTTCAGCCCTTTCTCTCTCCATAAAGCTGAACTCTTTGGCTCAGCCCACAGAAGCACTTAGTCTGTTCGATGGCATGAAGCTTCACCTGATTCTAGAATTGAAAATGAAGCCAAAGAAGATTTCTTTTAAAACCAAACTGTTATAATTTTGTCATTTGACAGATTGCAGTGACGCAAGAAAAACAAAAAACATTCTTGAGAATGAAAAGACTATTACTTCAAGAAAAATTGAAAAGTGTTTGTTACTGATAATTAAATTCAAGCTTTCAAGCAATAATCATAATTATGTACAATTTGAAGATCTTGTCAGATTTCCAATATGTACAGACTTGTACAGACCAAACGGTGGTGCTATTAATTCTTATGATTTAATTTGGAGTAATGAAACATATCAATATTTCAAATATATGTGTAAATCAGTATGCTAGTATTTCCAAAAGACCAATGCATGCAGTTAGAGAATAATGCATGGGTGAATGAGACATCCAAAGACAAATGCATCTGAATGAAGTGAGCAGGACTTTTGAGACAGCCCCTAACTAGGCTGCACTAACCTTAAGAAACCAGCACTTCTCAGGTGATGATACACAATAAAAATGATGTTCATAATTTAAGTTTAATTAGTCAAGGTTCACAAAGCTGTGGACTAAACCCCAGGTGAGAATATGAAGTAGCCACATTTTTTGGCTATTTACACTACCCTTTTCAAAGTCGGGACAAGTTTCCCTATCATTGTATTCCAGCTATGTTGCTTCCTACAACCGTCAAGTACTAGAACACACATCACAAGTTAAACAAATTATAGAATACGCACTCTGTGGAATACAATACAGCCCTTAACAATGTTTGGACGTAACTGTAGACAAACTTATTATTCACTTCTTATAACACAGATGATTAAATTTTTGTTGTGGTTTACAACTCTGTCTTACCTTCAAAATGAAATATATCTAATGAGTCATTAATATACATGTGAATAAGAGACTAGAAAGAAAAACCAGAAAGCGGACAGAGATTACTGGAAGCACAGGTGATTTCTGCTTTCACTTCACAGCTTTGGGACTTTTCCAAGTTTTTTGAAGAATATATACCATTTTTTGCTATTGGGGGAAAATGTACATTTTAAAAACTCTTCTGAGACCTCAAAGAAAAACCTGAGTAAGAAAAAAATACGTAATAATACGTAAAAATACTATAATTTTATTTCTCAGGATGAGTTTCACAAGCAAAAGCAAGCTTTTGTTCTTACCCTGGTGAATTTTCAACCATAGACTCATACTCCACCCATGTCCAATTGTTCTAAAATTATTTTTACTGGAGACTGCTATAAAAAGCCACCCATTGTGAATTTGGGAAAGTTAACTCTGATCACTTCAGTTTTCAGGGATGCTACCCTGCATGTCTGAAGTGTATTTCCACCACCACATCTTCAGACTAGTAAAAATAGACAAATTCACTTTTTTTTATTTTTATTTTTCTGAGAGGAAGAATTACAAACAATGAAAGACAGAAATGTCTTCCATCCGCTGGTTCGGTCGATCCAAAGCCAGGAACCTGGAGCCCAAGAGCGTGAGCCATCTTCTGCTGCTTTCCCAGGCCATAGCAGAGAACTGGATCATAAGAGGGACAGCCAGGCCTAGAACTTGCACCCATATGGGATGCCGGAGCCACAGCCCGAGTTCACATTTTAAAATACAATCTCTCATTCCCCCAAAACTCACTTCATTAATTTCAAATTTCATTTTTGCCTTCAAGCATCAAAACAACAATGATCAGTTTAAGTCACATAACAATAACCCACTGGAGGGTGGATGCACAGGTATCTTGTGCCTTGTCTGGAAATACTATAGTTTATTATAGGTGGCGTTCGCTGAGTAGCCCGTTAAAGGAAATATCATGATCCATTTTCAGTTCCTGAACTGTTCATATAAATATTTTCTTATTTTTTAAAAGACATTTATTTATTTGAAAGTCAGAGTTACACAGAAAGAGGGAGAGGGAGAGAGAGAGAAGGGGAGAGGGGGAGAAGGGGATAGAGAGAGAGGGGGAGAGGGGGAGAGGGGGAGAGAGGGAGAGGGGGAGAGGGGGAGGGGGGAGGGGGAGGGGGGAGAGGGGGAGAGGGAAAGGGAGATGAAGAGGGAAAGGGAGAGGGGGAGAGGGGGAGGGGGGAGAGGGGGAGAGGGGGAGAGGGGGAGAGAAGGAGAAGGGGAGAGAAGGAGAAGGGGAGAAGGGGAGAGGGGGAGAGGGGGAGAGGGAGAGGGAGAGGTCGAGGTCTTCCATCCGCTCACTCCCCAACTGCTCACAAGGGCCGAAGCTGCACCGATCGGAAACCAGGAGGCAGAAGCTTCCTCCAGGACTTCCCATGCAGGTACAGGTGTCCAAGGAATTGGGCCATCTTCTACTGTTTTTCCAGGCCACAACAGAGAGCTGGATCAGAAGTGGAGCAGTCCGGACTTGAACCTGCGCCAACATGAGATGCTGGCACTGCAGGTGGCGGCTTTACCATCTACACCACAGCACTGGCCTTTATAAAATGTTAAATTGAGAAGATCTGGAGCAAAACTATTAACATGCAGATTATGAAATTTCTACTCCACAGCTCAGATTAAGAAAACCTAACATCTGATTAGAAATGCTAAGTACAGAAATCATCACACAGGCTATATTCCTTTTTATTCACATTTTGTGCTATAATAATCTTAACCTTTAGCACAAATGCTTACTCCACTCCTAGGTCAGCAGCTCCCAGCACAGTCTGAAGACACAGGTGATGGGAGAGGGAGTGGTCCATGAAACCCTTCCAGGGATCAATGCCACCAAAACTAGTCCACAGGAACACAAAGATGTTATTTACCTTTTCTACTCATTCTCTGAAAAGTGAGTGGTGGAATTTTCCAAAGATTACAGGACATGTGGAGTTGCAAGGGAAAGAATACAGAACATAAAAAATCTAGCTGTTGTCTACTGAGGCAGACATGAAAGAGATTGGTAAAATATGTAAAAACGCCACCTATCTCAATTATTTTTTTTGTCTTGTTTTCGGAAAGTGCAGTTCATTTTAATTTTAAAATGTCTGGACTACTGTTATTTTAAAATGAATTAATATAGCAACAGTTTATATTTGTTTTAATTTTGAATATGGTAGATATCAATAGCTATAACTCACAGCAACAAAAGCTGAGATCGCCAGTTTCAGAGTATAAAAGGACCCTGACACTCCAAAGTTTGCAACCTGCTGCATCCGTAAGCACCTAAATGAACATACAGGTGTAGAGAGGTACAGACCTGCTAACAGTCTTCCACTAAAACCTCACACATCCATTCTGTAGCAACGTTCTCTACTCATTAATCCCAAATAAAAGCAATGAAGTCACTGAAATGCAGAAAAACAATGGTCCTAT